TTCCCCTTTATTACCACCTCAGACAGCCCTTCTAGCCTGGCTGCAAAGAGCCCATTAGTCTCTGACAAATAACGTGTGTCGTTGTGTGAAAAATATGCAGAAGTTTGGCTGCAACTTCATCTCCAGTCCTGGTTCTGTTCGTGGCCTCCCTCACCTCTAAACAAAGCACCCAACCCCAGGCCGACCCTCCCCAGTGTCCCCTTTTCCCCTGATGCCACTCACTGCTGGGCCCACAGAGCCAGCTTACTCATTTACAATGGGGTTTGAGATGGGGTATTCAGAGATGTCCATAACTGGGTGTTAAGAATTCACCAAAAGGTGGGAGCAACCCAAGTGTCTATCAGCAGATGAATGGATAAATAAAATGTGTTACATGCACATGATAGAATATTATTCAGCCTTAAAGAGGAAGGAAATTTTGATATATGCTACAACAGGGGTGAGCCTTGAGGACATTGTGCTCACTGAAATAAGCCAGTTACAAAAAGACAGATATTTATGATTCCACATATACGATGAGGTGCGTAGAGTACTTGAATTCATAGAGACAGAAAATAGAACGGTGGCTGCCAGGGGCTGGGGAGAGAGGGGAATGGGGGGAGACAGGTGTGGTTTAAAAGGTATAGAGTTTCAGTTTTGCAAGATAAAAATACTTCTAGAAATTGATTGCACAGCCGTAGAAGTGTACTTAACATGACTGAGCTGTACAGTTAAAAATGGTTAAGATGGTAAAATTGATCACAATTAAAAAATAATAATAATTAGCTTCAACCTGAACCAGCGAAGGAGAAACTGGCACAGGAAAGCTCTCTGAGCACTCGGAGTTGGTCATTTATTCATGCTTTCTACATCAGCTGGCTCTCAGTGCATAACTAGCAGCACTAAGATTTAGTGGCTTAAAACAACAACCACTTGTTGAGGTTATGATTCTGGTTTACAGTTTGGGTTGGGCTTGGCTGGTCTGGGTCGGGCTCGGCTGATTCTGGGATATGGGGAGGGCCAGCTCATCTCTGCTCCACAAGGTCTCTCTGCCTCCCACAGACTAGCCCAGACTTGTTCAGATGGTGGTGGTGGCAGGCAGGGGTCCCCTAGGTAATGAACATGAGCGAGCGAGGCCTTTGGGGCCGTGGCTCATGCTCACACACTGCTCTTCTGACCATATTCTGTGGCCCAAAGCAAGTCACAGGGCCAGTCCAAATTCAAAGGGTGGCAAGGTGGACCCCACCCCTTTGTGGGAGGGGCTGCAAAGAATTTTTGCAATCTACCACATACACTATACACAGGGTGTCCCCCAAAAAGTGTATACACACTTTAAGAGCTGATAGCTCAGTTTTGAAAATGAAATGCATTTTAATAAACACTGCCTTTGTGATTATTCAAAGTGTGTTTATATATTTTGGGGCAGACACCCAATATATGCCAGACCCTGTGCTAAGTGCTGAAGAGAAAAATACAAATAAAATACCTTGACATGCAAGAGGCATGTAAATAAGCTATTACAGCACATACTGTGCTCTAAAGGTAAGCCCAGGGTGCTAGGGGGCCTGCCAAGGAGGGTGGAGGACAGGGGGACATAATCATACCTTGAGTGGTATTGAACAGTACATGTAATTAGCGAGAAGAAGGGAGGTGGGAAGATCTGGGCAGAGGGGCAAGGGAATGAGTGAAGGCTGGGAGGGGGCCCTGCCTGGGGGAGGCTTCGGTGGGAACCGAAGGGCCGGCCCAGGAGTGGAGGACCTGGGGTGAAAAGGGGGCCTTGCCTTCCGTGCTCAACCTCAAATGGTTTATTTAAGCAGGGGCTGGTGGCCGGGTTGCTGTGTGGAGGTGGCTTGGAGGGGGACAGGCCCGAAAGAGTGGGGCATCCTCAGAGGCTGCAGCAGTGACTCAGGTGAACAAAAACAGCAGACTCAAATAGGGCGCTGGCGCACATGGGGCCAGGAGAGAAGGGACTTGGTGTGGGGAGGTGGGGGAGGAGCCGAGGAGTCAGCCTAGGGACCAGGTAGGCCTGTGCTTTCTGCCCAGACGTCAGCTGGGGGGAGAGAGGTGGGACGGTTCCCTACGGAGGGATAAGTCCAAGGGCAGAGAGCAGTGGAGTGGGCAAGCAAGGGCATCATGGGGTTTTGCAGACACAGAGGAGCATCCCGCTCAGCACTGGGAAAGACCACTCGCAAGACCAGAAAGCTGGCCAACAGAGGGGGACCCTGAGGTGAAGGCTTCTCTCCCACTGTGAGGGATGGAGCCCCACCCTGCTGAGGCTCAGGCCCAGAGGCCTGTCGCTCACGGGCCCCACCACACCTCTCCCAGGGGAGGGCTGGCCATCCCAGCCTCTATGCCTGAGGCAGTGGAGTTCTGCTGGTGCTGGGGTGCTGCTGGACTTCACTCTGACACCCCAGCACTGGGCAGGCTCACCCTGTGCCCGCAGACCACCCAGCCTGGGCACAGGTGGCTGGCCGGGAGGCTTCCCCAGGAACCCACAGTCCAAGCCCCTTAGACATTGAGGGTTGTCCTTTGCCAAGCAGGGGGTGGGCAGGAGGGCAGCTTGTGCCCAGAGCTGGTGCTGGCTTCCTCCTGTGGATCCTGGGTTGTGATGTCCCCAAATGTCACCTCTCTGGCTGGGCACTCCACTGCCAGCAGTGAGCACATACCAACTGATTAATACTCTGAATGCACTTGGGACCCTGCTGTGAAAAGGAATCCCCTGGTGAGCACTTTCATAAATTGAACACTTCGGCTATTAATCCCGATTTCCGCCAAGTGGGAGTGGACAGCGCCTACAGTTACGATGACCCGGATCTCCAAGCACCTCCCGGATCCTCCCGGAATTTCCAGGGAGGCGCTGCTGCTGGGGCTGGGACCTCAGATTAGAAGTAAAATCTTCCCAAGCGATCACAATGCCTTGGGCCTAGCGGGAGTGGCATTTTGTGTACTGCTGGGTTTTCCTGGCTCCCTGAGCACGGTTAACTCGGCAGGCGTGGGTGGCTGCATCTGTCACTCATGGCGGTGTGACGACCAGGGGGCAACGGAGNACTCGTGGCGGTGTGACGACCAGGGGGCAACGGAGCAGGCGCCCTTGGTGCTTGAGGGAACTGAGGCCCTGAAAGCTGGGGCAACGTGCCCAGGGTCGTGTAGCCAGTTAGTGGCAAAACTGGAATGAGAACCAGCATCCAGGCCCAGAACACACCCCCACCCCGACTGCTTCACTCAAAAGGTGACATCGCCCACCTGGCTCACGGCTTGGGAATGAATTCGGTTGCTGGCTCTTTTGAGAGCTGATGTGGGAGCACAGAAGTTCAGCCTCAGCCCCGCCTGACCCCGCAGGCTCTCCCTGAGCTGTCTCCACGCCCCAGCCCTGTGCTCACACTGCGGGTGCGCACGGCCTCGCCTCCAGCCCAGGCCCAGCCACCACCTCCTCACCCTCCTTCACCTCTCCCTCCAGCCCCCGTGTCCCACGGGCCCTAACCCTGACCCCAATACTAAACTCATCCCCTCCCTTCCCAATGTCGAGCCTGCCTGACCTCAGAGCCCACCGGCCCTTGCCCATCCCTGAGCATCTGATCTTCACCAGGCTCAGCGAATAGAGCAGAGCCTCCATCCCCATTGCACAGATATACAAACAGAGGCTCAGGGAGCACAGGGGCTTCTCCACGGACATTAGGTGTCAGAGGCACCACTGGGCTCACTAGGGCACCTTGGCAGGCAGCCGACGCCGGCCCATGTGGACAGAGATGACTAGTCAGGCTGGAGCAGGGCCCACTGGAGGGTGATTCCAGAGTACCAGCCAGGGTTGCACATAGGCCTGGAGGTCTAGGACGATGGCAGGGGGCTTAGAGGACAGGGCTCAGCTTTGCAGACCACCCTCTCCCATTCACCTTCCAAAGGACTTAACCTGCCTGACAACAGTTCTAGGTCATTCTGGCCCCAAACTCTGCGCCTCTGATGTGCAGCTACCAGCAATGCTAAGGGCAGGTTCTGTCTAGGGGTCCAGGAGGCAGCAGGCAAGGCGAGGCCTGTGGGAGCATTGGCCATCCAAAGGCCCTAACTCTAACAAACGAGTTTATATAAACTAAGCAGGGTGGTGGTCAGGCCCTCCTCCTTCCCCCTTCTGAGCCTGGAGATGGGTCTGGGAGAAGCTTCTGACATCCCCAGGTTTGGAGCCCATGGGCCTGGGGCATTCTCTGTGCCAGCCCCAGGTGGCCAAGACACTGGGCAAAGGTAGGTGTGCATCACCCTGGGAAGGCCCCTGAGGCCACTGCCCGGGACCTGCTGGGGCTACGAGCCAGCCTGTTCCATGCTGAAGCCGCAGGCGAGGGTGGGAGTCCTGAGTGACCCAGGATGTGGGAGGAGGTGCAGACAGTCCCTGCTCCTGGCTTGCTTCCCCCCAGCAATCCCCAAGGTTTGAAATGGAAGGAAGCGCTCACCAGGTCCCCCCTCCACCTTCCTTCCAATGGACCCCTTCCCAGGAAGCTGTCCGCAGCCGCGGCTGTGTGTCTAACACGAGGGACGCTGTTTTTGCAGGTTGCGTGGTTTCTATTCCTTTAACCATGTCCAGCCCATCTTGCATCACAATGCCATGCTTTACTCGGTATCAAACACATCGGCGCTCATTGGCATTTGGAGGACTTGTTCCTTGGTGATATAACAGTTTTTAATTGTCTGTGATAACGTATTCTCTATGTTTCCGATTGTCACTATGGGACTCTTTTCCCGGGACCTTTCGATTTCTGGGTTTGGTTTTTTTATTTCTATTGTATTTGTTTCGTTTATTTTTTGCTTTTGAAAGTTGTGATTCCTTTGGTTATGTGGCCCCTCCCAGTTGCCGCTTGTTTATGCATATGTTTGTGACTTCTTCTGACTGTCAGTGTTGAGCCAGTCTTGCCAAGAAACAGTATCAAGTATTTTCCTATTTCTCTACTTCTTGGAAAAAAAAAAAATTTAATTAAAAAAACAAAACAAAACCTCTTAATGGGAACCTGGCCCTGTCTGTCTTCTCTGTTCTGCAGAAATGTTGAAGGAATTGAACCAGCAGCGCAGAACGAAAGCCTTTACAGACCTGAAAATTGTTGTTGAAGGCAGAGAGTTTGAAGTCCACCAAAATGTTCTAGCTTCCTGCAGCTTGTATTTCAAGGACCTGATTCAAAGGTTTGCCTTCCTTCCAGCTGTGGTCGGGTCTGTTCCTTTGTAGGACGCTTTTGTGTCGCTTCTCTCCTCCCCTCTCTTGCAGGTTCCTGAAGTGTGACTCCCTGTCACAGAGCCAGTAGCCATCTCTCCTCCCCCCGTCCCCCCATGCCCTCTCACACGCAGCCTCAGAGCAGCCACTGCCCCCAGCCCACCCCTCACAGCTTGGCTGGTCCCCGGGGGCCTCTGCCAGCAGTAGGCAACACCCCCGCCCGGCCCTGGGGAGCCCGCGTTCTCAGTGGCCCACCAGCCCCCCCTGAGATTAGGAGGATTGTAGACTCCACGTTAAGGGACCACTGCACACTGCCCCCCGCTGGGCCAGCCCAGGGCACCCGGCACCATCGTCTCTGCTGTCGATGGCGAACTTAATGCCAGGAAAACACATCGACCAGCCCAGCCCCTGGTGAGGAGCGCGAGGCGCCCAAGGGGCCGCTTTGCCGCAGCCCGAGTCGGGGAGAAGAGACTTGTAGCCCAAGCCTTGTTCACGCTGCATGTCTCGGTACTTGCACACTGAGCCTAACCCGGCGTTGTCTGAGCCCAGACCAGGTGTGTCCTAAACACGGTCTCTCTCAGCGTTTGCTCCCTCCCCGCCTGCCCTCCGCCCCGGCTATTTCTACCCGAATGAGTCTTAATGGTGCATGAGCATCTTTTTTTTTTTTTTTTTTTTTCCTTTTTTTTGA